CTTTCTTTCTCTGTCTCTTGTTTTTGCGTACTTTTTCCGGGCTTTAATTTACGCTTTTAAAATCTAAACTCTGCTGGTTTTTCGCGATCAAAATATATTTTTTGGTGTTTAAAAAAAAGGAAAAAATTGAAATTGCTAAAAAATAAAATATAAACATCTTTGGAGCGCAGTTATATAGCTCGACGTTATAAGCACTACTAGTAGAGAGTTCGGGCAACGGCGTCGGCGCGTGCTCATATTTATACATCCATACATACGTATATATAAGCGAAGCTATTACAAGCGCGGCACGACGTTCCGGACGACGACTCTCTACTACTATACGGTTGCTGCTGCTGCTGTTGCTGCTGGCGTCGGCTTCGCAAAAAAGCAATTTCGGCCAGGGAGGAATAAACAAAAGAGAGTAAAAAAGTAGCAGCAGCAGCTACAAGCCTTGCCCGGGCACGTCGGTTTTGCTCTCTCTTTCTCTCTCACTCTCTCCTCTGCGGGTAGAGATTCGAAAAGTAGCAGAAGAGACGCGCGCGCAGATGCGAATCCAGTCGCGTTCGCTTATATATTCCCCTCTTATGCAGCCACTTCTCTGTGTGCGAGTGTGTAAATATATAGCTGTGTGTGTGTATGTATGGGTCTATACGTGCACGAGTGGGTTGAGTGGACCGCAAATCCGCTCTCTGGAATCGAGGCGTTTTTCGAGTCTCTCTCGCGAACGCGGAGCAAACATTTTTCGCGAGTCTATCAAAAAATAAATAAATAAATAAAAAGAGAGGAGGAAAAAAAAATTAGTCATACAGTCAAGCCTATAGTAGGGGATGCACGCACCACCACGCGAGAGATGCGGATTTTTTATATGGCTCGCGAAAATCCCCGCAACGAAGAAAAAGAGGAGCGAGAGACCTGGTCATTCCGCGTGTTATACGGGAGAAAGAGAGCGAAGAAGAAAGAGAGAAAACAGAGAGAGCCGTGTCAAGGACAGCCCGTGGTATACGCCGAGAGTATAGATATATTATATGTAGCACAGAAAGAGAGAAAAGGAGCCAAACGAGCGAGAAGAGAGCGAAACGAGAGAGTGAAAGAGCCTCGAAGGACTGTGTCAGTCGTTGTCGTTCTTCTGCCCCTTTGCTTCTTCTTCTTCTTCTTCTCCTCTGCATCTTCTTCTTCTATACTTTCGTCTGTATTTCTCCAAAACCTTGCACTATATCCGCGCTACTATATTGTGATACGAAAATTATGAACGCGGGCGGCGGTATGCGGAGCAGTGCAGTAAAAAAGATATATACATGCTCTCTCTTTCATCGTTATCCGGAAGAAAAAGATTCAAGTTCACGCTTAAAGCGCATATATACTGTACGGCGACTTTTTGCTCGTTCTCTCTCGGCTTTCGTCGCGAGTATCGCATCGAGATCGGTCGAATCGACGCAGGGGCAGGGATTAATCAAGGAATATTCAAGACCCCGACGGCTGCACCGTAGCTGATTTCTCGCGTAATAATATTCAACGTATCGCACTCTACCTTGTGTGTATATGCAGCGATTTAATACATAAGGTATACGATATACATACACACCAATCACGCATTGGCTTTATAAGCCCCATAAAGCAGTGCCGTCACGTCGTCTTCGTCGTCGTTGTCGTCGTCGTCGTCGTCGTCATGCTGCGCGGGAGGGGCGCGCGTGATATAGTCTGGCAAAAAAGCCGAGGGAGAACCACTGCTGCTGCTGCTGCTATGCTGGTAGAGGAGAGCGAGACCACGCACATATATATCTATATAATACATACATGTACACACGTCTTTGGTTGCAGGGTGCCGCGAATGAGCAAGACAGAGAGAGAGAGAGAAAGGTAAGGTGTTATAATACGCATGACGATGATGCTCCGGGCCCAGCTTTTTTATATGCAAAGGTGCGCGCACGCACTATTTTTTTTTCTTCTTCTTCTTCTATACTTCTCCTTCTTCTGCTGCTGCTTCTCGTCCCTTTTTGGCCCTGAGCTCGCTCGCGCGGAGGAGTATTAAACTTGGCTACTTTAATACCTTTATGAATGATGGCCCGAGACGCGCCGAGCTTTTTTATGATAAATAACAAGAGTGCACACGAGCGAGCCAAAGAGATCGTATTATAAAGAGCCGCGCGTGAAAAAGTCAAAAGTTTCGATAATATATAAATGTGATTTTCGTTCTCGTCGTGGCGAAAAATTAATCTATACTCGCACACACACACACACACACACACACACTCGGACGGAAACAACAATTTAGCTTGGACGCATGGGCGAGATTAAATTAACGAAGGATAATGTAGGCTGCGTCGCTATATATACAAGAGAGAAAGAGATTGAAAGTATACGGGCGTGAAATTACTCGCGTATATATACTACGAACGTGCTCATATAGCGTGTATGTGTAACATGCAAACACACTCTCGGCCCTGCGAATTATAAAGAAGACGAAAAGGAGAAGTGGAAGATGCGAGAGAGAAGAAGTCAAGAGTGTATGTATGCACGTGTATACGTGTGAGCTCTCACATACACACACAAGCACACCCAAGTATCCTACATAAGTTTGCTGCGAGGAAAACACGTGGAGCATTTATATACCGACGACCCTCGCACGTATGTACGCTTATTCTCTGCCACATTATATACACTACAATGCATTATATATGTTTCGATTGTAATTAGTAGCGAAATAGTATCGGCTTACCATAAAGCACACGGAAGACGATCGATCTCTCGCAAAAACTTGAGCCTATCGCATTATACATCGTCGGCGAGATATCGTCGCGCGTCGACTCGCTCGGCGATGATTCATAATAAATTATACTATATTTCTTTTTCATAAACAGAGAAAAAAACGACAATACGCGAAACTCGTCGATAGTTAGAATTTTTGACGAATCGTTGTTTTTTTCGTCGTCGCGTTGTCGAGCCGTGAGAGCGAGTTTGTTCAACCTGCTCGCGACGTTGGGAGCTCTATTCACGCAGAGCCGTGGAAAAATTAGCATACAATATGGGAATTTATGTCTTCGCGGAGAGTCGCGCCGAGACTCGTACGCATAAAAAACGACGACGATTCGCGGGAGGCTCCGAAATTTCGATCCACCACGTGTTTGCCGTTTTTATTCTTTTGAACCGAGACACTGCGATATATCTACGCCAAATATAAAATATTGTCGTCAACGCGTCGACAGATACGTCTATTTCGCAATTCACAAAATGGTCAAGCTCTCTCGCGAGGGGGGAGAAACCTTATAGAAGATTATTCCGACTCTTTTTTTTTGCACGTTATGCACGCTCTGTCCGGTCATTTCGTAAGGAGTCACAATGGTTATAATAAGTACATTATAACTACAACAACAACACATACCCTTTGAACTTTGGCATCCAATTTGGATGAATCGAGCTTGGTCTCCACAAGCACGAATCCCTCCGAAACACTCCTTGTTCAATTCTCTCTTCTCTCGGCCGTCGAGTGACGAAAAAAAAAATTTATTTCGTACTCGTTTATGTATTCTCTCTTTCTCTTGTATATTCTTATTATTTCACCCGTCTAGCAGTGCGGCACTCGTGACGTAGATTGCGCGCCGCGGCGACGACGACACATGTGTGTGTGTGTTAGTACATTTATGTATGCACGTATGTGCGAAATGAAAAAAAAAATAAAAAAAGAAGAAATACACAGCATATAGATATGCACGCGCGTTTATATATGTGTATAGCACATATATATGTGTGTGTATATGTATAAAGCTCCCACTCTCAATTATACATCCGTCGTGCGTCGTCGTCGTCGTCGCATGCGGAGGAGTTCGACGCCCGTTGAAAAGCCACTGTAAGCGCGCAGCTCGTAGTGTACATGTGCATGTATGCGTATATATGTATGCACACACAGACCTGCAAGTGAACGTGCCTGTCCGTCTGCGTATGTGTTAGTGTTATATATTCTGCGACCAAGCGACGGATTGATTCCTTCTCTTTTAAAACATATATATATAAGGCTTTAAATATTTGCAGTTATATATGTTCTCGATGCACACTGTGTGGTGATGAACTGTCGGTATTTCACGCTGCGTAAATACTGTCACGCGAAAGCCGAAAAGTTCCCAAAGCTCGATCAACTCTTTTTTGTACGATAAACAAAAATTATCGATACAAATTTATAATGCAACAAAAACAAGAGAACCCAAGAGTAATAATAAAGACGACGAGTAGCGCGTGCACACGGTAGAGTCTGTCTGTCTGCACCGTGCGTGCTTGTGTTGTGCTGCGCGCGCGGTTTATCGCGAAGGTTTTTATATTATAATGCAAAATCGAGGGTTGATGCGGCACGCACGCGGCACTCCATCGAACTGCCGACGACCCGACGACGACGACGACGACGACGACGATGGCTGCCGCCGTTGCCGCTGCTGCTGCTGCCGGCCTGTTCTCTCGGGTTGTGTGCATAGTCTGTCTCGCTCTCACGCTCGCGAACGAGTATATTCGCCGAGCGCGAGGAGCGAGAACGAGATAGACATAGAGCCAGGCATGAGGCAGGGAGCTTTTTGTATTGTTTATCCGCACGGCGCCGCGCTCGTGTGCTAGCAGTAGTATATTCTCTCTCTCTCTCTGCCTCTGTCTATCTGTGCAGAAATGGACGCAGAATGAGACAGACTGCGCGAGTTTCACACGCAAACTTATACATGCAATCTATCTCTCCGTCTCTGTCTCCCTTCCGCGCAAACATCAGCGCGACGGACTCGCGCACCGGCCGGTGCGAATTTCGCACAGTAGCGGCTCGGAGACCGTAGCGCGCGACGATAAGAAAGCTCTGCGACTGCTGATCGCGCCACGATCTCGCGGTTGAGGGTATCGCAGAGATACGTGGGTAACAACCCAATGGGTCGCTTACCGACCGTCGGTATTAACCCCCTGCGCGAGCGCGTCGGTAAAGAAGGAAACATCATTGGCAAAGGGTATAGAGCTTTGTGACTTGTGAGATACGTAATCGTGCCGCACGAGCTTACCTGCAGTTCGGCCTGGGTCACGTCGATCTCGCCTTTGTAGACGAACTCGATGATGAATTTGAGATCATTGAAGCACACGTCCTGGGGCATGATGATGGTCGGATGCGTGCACGGATTGGACAGCAGCAGCTTCTGAAAGTACGAGCTGCACGCCGACAGAACGACCTGCGAAACGAAAAAGGATGAGCATTGGGCAAGCCAAGAGATGTGACAAGAAAGGATCGGGTTCAATTAGCGCGCGAGCTTTCGACGCGCGAGGCATATTGCGAGCTCCAGTCGCGAAAGAGAGGAATATTATTTTAACGAGACGCGATTGTTGCGAGCGAAAAATGCTTTTCGCGCTCTGAGTTTTCATTGCTATCTCTCACTCATCTTGCTCGAAAAACCTTTTTTCGCCTTTTTTTATTATTTTCTTCCTTTTCGCCCGACAGCAGCAGCAGAGAACGAAGGAAATCACAAGAGATAGGAAAGCTCGTAGATGAAAACAAAGAAAAGAAAGAAGAGTCGGAGATAGAGCGTCGTAGCACGAAAAATGGGGGGAAAAATACTATCCGCCAGTGTCAGTGTATAGCCAGGGCAACAGCGGAGAAAGGATAAAAATTGTCGGAGAAATGCGCGAAAGGCGCACATACACATACACGCATACATAGAGAGCGAGATTCTGTAGGAAAAAGAGAGCGTTGGGTTGAAAAAAGAGAGAGAGAGAGAGAAAAAAAGACGCAGACGAGGCAGAGGGTAAAGCTTTCTGCGAGGGAGAAAGAGAGAAGTCCAATGCGAGACAAAGAGAAACGAGACGAGGGAAAAGAGAGCACAGGAAATGAAAGAGAGCGAAAAAGAGAGAGAGAGAAAAAAATAAAAGTAAAGTAAAGAACGAAGAGAAGATGGGCTCTCTCTCTTTCTCTCTGTGTCTCTCTTTCTCTCTCTCTCTCTCTCTCTCTCTCTCTCTCTCTCTCTCTCTCTCTCGTGCAGGCGTGTGTAGGCAGGGAAAAGAGAAGAAAGAACGCGAGAAAGAAAGAAATGGATCGATAGAGCGAGCGCAAGAGCGCGTGGGTTAAAAAGAAAGACGAACAGAGGGAACGGGGGCGAAAGAGAAGAAAAAAATATATATGTACACTTCTTTTTTACAAGCCAATCTTTCTTTTCCCTATTTCGCTCGTACGCTTATTTCTCCTTCTTATAGACGTCCCTCTTTTTCTTTTCGAGGTATACATAATAATGCCGTTATATGCGCGCCGGCACTTGGTCTCTCTCTCTCTGCCCGTACGTACGTACTACTGCTGCTCGTATAAAGAGACGTATTTTCGCCCGCACCGTGAGTGTAATAGAAGAGAGGAAGAAGCAGAAGAAAAGAGAAAGAAAATAATTCATAAAAATGCACCTTGTGGGCCTTGAGGGAGGCCTCGTTGCACGCTAAGGTGACGTCGACGAAGGCCTCGTTCTGCAGCAGCTGATGGAACACCGACGTCATGTTTGACTGGTAATTGTCCCAGCGCAGGCAGTAGTGCTGCCCGGCCATCCCTCCGCTGCGAACACACAAAAAAGAAACAACAAAGCGATTACTATATTGTGTATTGTTATTGGATTTTCGTAAAACTTTAGCCGTGTACGGGAGAGTAGTAGATTAATACGATCGCAATTAGATTTCGCGCGAAAATAGATCTTGTCTTGGACTGAATAATACATTCGAACGAACTCTTGTTATCCGACCACGAGTTGAGAATATCTATCTCGGTAAATGCGTTCACCGATAAAAAATTCACCAAGTCCAATTTTCCATGTCATCCACGAGACATTTTATTTCCTTGTCCAAGCACTAACTGGACTTTCCCACTTCTTCTTCTCTTCTCGACTTGCAAGCTCTCTCTCTCTCCCGGCTCTCACTCGATAAAACGTATAAAAAAAGGAAAGTTCATCGTTACTCTCTCGTGCACTTAGAGAGGGAGAGAGAGAAAAAGAGATATATATAAATATATGTTTATGCACGATTCATCTCAATTTTTTTGTTAATCCTCGACGTCGAGCTTTTCTTCGTAAAACTCGCCGAGTCGAGTTTTGTTTTCCTTTTTCCCCCTACGCGGACTCGCAGTAAAGAGAAGAAGGCAAAGAAGAGTTGGGAAGAAAGAAGACGAAGCCACAGCAGCAGAAGACGACGCTATTTCCTGAGTAAGCTCGCACCAATAGAGATAGAGGACTCGTCTTTGTCTCCTTGTATGTTTCAGCTTTTCCTTTATACACGCCACTCACCCTAAGACTCTGGACTCTCTTATCTCTTTTCCCTATTTTCTTTTATACATATCAGCACGGGCTCGGAGTTGTATCCTTGGCTTTCCTTTCTTTTCATTTTCTCTCTCTCTTTCTCTCTACCTCTCTTTCAGCTTTCTCCCTCGGCGTTATCGACGTTCTTTTTCCCTCGCTTCAATTCACTCTCTTCTCTTCTTTCTCTCTTTCTCTCGCTTGTGCTCTCTCCTCTCTCTCTCTCTCTCTCTCTCTCTCTCTTGGGTATTTCTTTTCAAAGCTTTCGTCCTACGGCAGCACGGCAACGGCAGCTCAGCAGCCGTTGAAGAAACCCCCGGGCTTTCGCTCTTTAGCTTTTTATTTTACGCCGTACTACGGACTTACTGCTTGCGCTACCAAGGTACTTTTTTCTGCTTTCTGCAGTATAGCGACAGCAGCAGTCGCCCTGGAAACTGTGCAACTTCTACCATTTTTCCCTGGGTGAGTGAGAGAGAGAGAGAGAGAGAGAGCGAGAAAGAGCAAAAGAGAGAAGAGAGATGGATGGAATACTGGTGGGTGTTCAGAGAAGCAAAAGGAGAAGCTGAAAAGGGTATAGCGCGGAGAAAGCGCGCAGAGTGAAGCGAGGGTGAAGTTTCTTGTATCAATGCACGTGTATATAAGAGGGGAACAGCAGCAGCAGCAGATGAGGATTTTCTCTCTTTTTCTCGCTCGCTCTCCTCGTTCTATCTTCCTACTTTTCTCTTGTTCGTTCCGTTCTCTTTTTTCGCTCTCTCTCTCTCCCTTAAACATTTGGCTTTTTATACTTGGCTATACCGTTTCTGCCATTAGGAGCTCGTGCTGTGCACAAGACACGAAGGAGCGACGTATTACTACACGTTTATATATCTGTATGTGCTCGCTCTTTCTCGTAGAAGCAGCAGCAGAACTGTTCTTTATTTTTGCTTGTCTTTTCGCGTTCCCTCTCTCTCTCGCTCCCTCAGCGAGCAAATGGAAACAAAAGAATAGTAAGAGCTTACGGCCTTACGCTTTTTATACGCGCGAAAGAAACGAGTGCGCGCACTGTCGTCTTCGCTCTTTTTTTTGTTCCTAATGGTTCGAGTTGAAAAATTATCAGTAAATTAAATGCAGAAGGATCAACGGATGGAAAGTTCGAATAGGCTCAGAAAAGTTTCAAACGATACGGCATAATGTGTATCGGACTTGTGTAAAATGACCACGAGAGTCCACGCACGCAGGCATAAGAACGCGAGAAGCCTGCAAGGCTAAAACTGCAGCGTGTATGCGGGGTTCGTCGATCTGTGCTCGCCGCTCTGATCTCTTATAGTGCACTCTCTAAATCAACTCCTGCTGTATATCTGTATATATGTAGCGGAGAAAGAGAGAGAGAGGACGGCGAGCGTATAGAGAAGGAAAATGGATACGTTATGGCAGGAGAAAGCAGTGTGCAGTTCGCTAAAAGATAGACGAGAAAAGACAAAGGATCGCGCCAGCAGCATCAGCTCAATGTGCAGCTGGCGAGCACGGATGCGATGTTTTGTTGTATTTATAAGTAAGCGCAAAGGGCTGTGCGCGGAACGACGCCGTGACTTTGAACGATAATGACGCGCTTTTTCCTCGGCGCGCACTTTTCTTTCGCTATCTTTTCTTCCATATTATTCATAAACAATGGAATTGCGCTCGATACGCTTGAGAGATGCGTGCCGTATAGTAGTCGTGCGTCAAGATGTGGCTGAACAATATAATAATATAGACCATTGCTATTATCGTTGGGCTTTTTTGTGTTGTCCTGGCCAAGTCTGCGCAAGGATCCACAGAGAACGGAGTTGACACTTGGAAATTTGAATAATCAGGGGCATTGAGAAATGAATATCAGAGATAGACTCCGAATGTACAAAAGCTCTCTGTTTATTTGTTTCGTCGGGCTGCGGGCTTGTTGTGTACCTATTTAAATAGTTGAACCAGACGCGACCCACCTTTCGCCCCGACTGACCCAGTAGCCAAAGAGGCGCTACAACACACAGCTGGGTAGCATATAACGGTATACGTATAAACCCGTGTGTTTATATATACTGTGCACCACGAGGCTCTCTCTCTCTCTGTGCGCCTCTTATTATATTATACACGCAGCCGGGCCGCAAGGTCGCAAAGGCCCCCTTCTCTATACATTATATAGTCCTGCGATGTGCTTTGTACGGTGCAGGGATAATCGTGCACGTGCACAGCTTTGGCATGCGAACCGATATCGGAGCCGATCATCGGAGGATCTTATAAGCGAGTTCGATGAACGACGACAACAGAAGCAGAACGCTCATTATTGATTTTGTTCTAAAATAAGATTTGGTACGATATGAAAGACGTCAATTTTCACAATATGCCAGATTATGAATAATTCGTCGCGGCGTATACGTGTACGTTCGAATTCCCGGTACGGGTTTTACAAGTTTAATGCCGCTTGCGCTCGAGTGATACTTTCCTATAATACACCGCTGCATGTATTCTCGCGATTATCCGATAAACTAAAAGGAAAAGACGCCTATTATATTATGTGCTCTTTTTGTCGTTTGCCTTGATGCGCTCTGCAATGCATACATATATATGAGAAGGAAAAGATTCGCACACTGTCACTCGTCTCAATTGTCTGTACAGATTATTTTCCTCGCGCAACGAACAGGTTGATTTCGCCACGCGCGAAGGAAGGAGGACGCGTGAAAATAGCTCCCACCTCGAGAACACAAAGCGAGCGAAGAGAAGAGAAAAACAACAACAACAACAACAACGTCTACGAGAGACAGTAGTATAACACAGCGAGAGAAATAAACGCGTCTAAATTTTCACGCACGTATAATCCTCCTCGACGTCGACGCACGTTTATGAGCGCGAGGATCGTGCGCTGTTGTCGAGATCGAACCTCCTCGCGCACTTCTTGTAGCGCGCGGAGAAAAGTAAAAGCCAAAACAAGTGAGCCGCAATGATCGCGCGCGCGTCGGTGGCTGCTACACTTGCGTGCGAATAATTTTACTATGTATGCTGCAACTACTACTTCCAGTCGAAGATCGCCATAAAATGAAAAGTAAATGCGTGTATATGTATGTATAGGCGCGCATCGACATCGCGAGAAAAGAGCAAGCGATAATTACGCATATGTATATAGTTAGTTGAAAAAAAAAAACTGCGCGCAAGGAGAAATTCTCGGTGAGGTGTGCGTGCTGCAGCCACAGCCAGACAGAGAAAGAGAGAAAAGACCGGGATCAAGTGTGTGAAAAACGAGAATTCGGGTAGGGGACGAACGAACGAACGAAGGAGCGAACGAACCGCACGAGGCGTGTGCACCATCCCTTTGGTGTTCGCGATGTAAATTTAACCAATTGCAGCGCGCGAGAGTTCGGCAACTCATGCTTGCCTGCTTGCGCTGTGGTGTGAGAAAAGGAGGCATAAAAAAGTTTTCTAGCCAAATGTAAAACAAACGTGCAAAGGATGCGAAAATGCGCGCCACGGCCGTTCTCGCTGTGCATATACCCTCCGCTTTCTCTCTCTCTCTCTCTCTCCAGTTCCTAATGCAAACTCTGGCGCGCGTATACTTACTGCACACACACACAGCTACACACACATTGACGATCGTGTCTGACTCTCGCCAAAAGCTTCTTATAACTCCTCTTTTGCCTTTCTCGCGATCATCGAGCGAGCGAGCGGAGAAAGGAATGGACAAGAGTTTATATATATTTTATAATACAAAAGCGGAGGCCAAAGTGAGAGGGAGAGAACGAGAGAGATAGAGAGAGAGAGAGAGAGAAAGAGAGCGAGAGAGAGAGAGATATCAATTTCTCCTGCGCGCGAGCTACATTCGCGCGCCAACCACCCAAGTACGATACTTACTTTTCGCATTTTTCCGAGCTGCGCGCGCCTTTCTTTTTCACGATTCCACCGCCGCGAGAGCTCACATAATACATATACGCGCATGGAAGTGAGAATATACTATGTACGTGACAAGACGTATGTTATACGCAGCGTACGAGTGTCCGTCCACACAGGACGCGCGCTTGCAAACGCACACACATCACACACACATAAGTATCGGTGTAAACCTGCGCGCAGCGAGAACGATTCACTTTATCCTTCATCGAAAAATTGCCGTGTGTGGTTCTAAATGCACCGCAGTCGCAGCGTGTGTGTGTGCATATAAGCGCGTAGTTGCATCGTTATAAATGTATATGTGTGTAGGTACTGCTCACGGCGTAGCGCGTTGCTGCTATACTACTTTCCATTTCTCTCGTGCATATACGTATACAGG